CTGCAACAGGAGCTCGTGCCTGGGCAACTGAGGTATACTGGCTGGGGGACGTTCTCTGCTACAGTTTGAAGTTCCAAGTGTCCTATAAGGAGATAGTGCCAAGTTCTCTGGAGTTGGTGGCACTGTGGGTGAACATTAGGGCCCTTTCAAAGCCACCCAGATGCCCTCGCTGCTGTCTTGATTGTCAGCAGTAGACAAAGCGAGCAGGAGAGACTTGGGGTACTCAGGATTCAGGTTACTAGGCATCTGGGTAACTGAGGCGGGGAGCTACAGCATCAGATTCTGTGCAAATAAGGACATCCAAGTGCCTCCAGCTCTGAAAATTTAATGACTGTAACAGTTCGCTCACATAGGCCATAATGAATGAAGCGGAGCTGTCTTGGGCTGCATGTAAAACGTGTAACATAGTTAATGTTTATAAGCAACAAAAATTCTTTTTTAATATTTTGAGTTATTATTTTATGAAATAACACAGGCCGGGCTGGTGAGATAGTTCAGCGGTCTAAAGTGCCTGCTTAGGCAAGCACAGGGACGCAGTTTGATCCCAGCACCACCACACAAAAACCAGAAGAAACTCTTTTTGCCGCATCTCCAGCAAGAATGAAGACCATTCTTAGCAATCAGACTGTGGACAATCCAGAAAATGTTGACATCACTTTGAAAGGATGCACAGTTATTGTAAAGGGCCCCAGAGGAACCCTCTGGAGGGACTTCAACCACATCACTGTGGAACTCAGCCTCCTCTGGAAGAAAAAGAAGAGGCTCCGGGTTGACAAATGGCGGGGACCGCATGATCTGTAGCCGCGTACAGAACACGACCAACGGGTCACGCTGGGCTTCTGTTACAGATGAAGTCTGTGTGTGTTCACTTGCCCCTCAACGTCGTTATTCAGGAGAGTGGGCCTCTTGTCGAAATCCGAAATTTCTTGGGTGAAGAATACATTCGCCGAGTTTGTATGAGGGCAGGTGTTGCTTGCTCAGTATCTCAGGCCCAGAAAGATGAGCTAATCCTTGAAGGAAGTGACAGTGAGCTTGTTTCAAATCCAGCTGCTTTGATTCAGCACGCCACAGCAGTCAGAAACAAGGATATCAGAAAAGGTTTGGATCTGAAAAGGGAACCGTTCAGCAGCCAAGTGGGTAAGATCCAAGAGTTAATCCAGCCACGGAGACGAGCTTCTGGATCAGAAAGCTAATCTGTGATATTTTAATGGGACAATAAAAGATCTTTATTAAATAGAAAAAAAGAAAGAACATAAGCCCAAGATAAATAATTGAGTGATAAAACTTGTATGTCCACTTAGCAGCCGGACACACGTGTGCCGGGGTGGTGGAACACCCTTAGTGGTCCTCACCGTGCCTGACTCAGCACTCTGCCCCCACGACCTTCGCTTCTGGCCTCTATCGTCCACGCTGCAGCAGCACACAATCAAGGAATGAAAAGAGTCACTAAGAATAAAGCATTTCGTCTACGGTGCTGCGTTCTTAACTATCCAGGTCACGTGTCAGCCACAGGCCACGGGTTAGACACATATGTAACAGTCCCCTTACGTTTTGATGTAGCAACAACTGTTTCTCTTTTAATTTAAAAAAAAATCTTTTATTCATCTTATTTACTTGGTACAGGGTCTTGCTGCACAGCTTGGATTCCTAGTGAGCCTCCTGTCTCAGCCTCTTCAGCGCTCAGGTTACAGGCGTGGGTCACCACGGCTCGTTTTGTGGCAGGCCTAGGTTTCCGGGCTGCATGACATGGAGTACCAGGAATCAAATCTGGGTCCTGGAGCTTTCCAGGCAGCCGTTTAGGCTGCCAAACTATCTCCCCAGCCCAGCAACTGTTTCCTTAAGCACTTTTATGTATTTATTTAGCAATCCCAGTCTTTTAGCTTTTTGGTTTTGCTTCGGCTTTTTTTTTTTTTTTTTTGAGAATGTTGGTTTTTGTGAGGTAACATGTACCAAAAATGAGGTGTGATGAATGAAAATTTTATTAGGATTCTCTAACATGAGACAGGAATAGGGGGAATGGGAAGAACGATTAGCCAGATTAGTGAGGACATCATGGTGACTGTCCCAGGAACTGTCCTTCGGCCTTCCTAGCCCTCATCTTTATTGTTCTTTTGGACTTACCTCAGCAAAGCGTCTTGTGCTGTCCCAACAGCATTTCCACTGAGACTGAAGTCCTGTTTTCACTTCCTGTTACACTAACACTTTTGCTAGACTCCCTCCAGGACAAAGCACCCTATGGCCTGGCCAGGCTCAGAGGCCCATACAGGTTACGCACTGGAAGAGAAACTATTAAATGGCCTTCTGCACAAGACGGAGTGGTACTACATGCTTCAGGCTGGCTTTGAGCTTGCTACGTAGTTCAGGCTGGTCTCAAACTCACAGCATCCTCTTGCCTCAGCCTCCAAAACACTAGAATCACAGGCCTGGGCCACCACATCCAGCAACGAGGCCAGTCCACCATGGCATTGATTGAGATGAATTACTGAAAAATGCTGCGCTAATATAATGCCAGTTGTTATTGATTTTTTAAAGCATTTTGCAACCATGAAAAATCCGATTACATTGTTCTGACAGTTCTTTGTTATTTCTACTTTTCTTTCTTCTCAAAGGTCCTGAGTGTATTGGCCAGCCTGCCATTGCTGGGGTAAAGTATCTGACACGCACGACTTAAAAAGAGAGAGGTTTAATTTAACTCATAAATTCTGTAGGTGAAAATTATAATACCAGGGAAAGGAATGCATGCACACAGATTTTTTGATAATTTTTTTCCTTTGATGATTTTTAACATGCAATAATTATAAGAAAATATTTTAGGTTAAATTTATTTATTTATTTATTTATAACATCTTGGGAAACATCTTTACATTACAAACAGTCTAATGTTAAAACTTTTTCGAAGGTGGCTTTTTCATCAAAAGATCCGAAGTGGGTACATTTCAAACAAGAATTTAAACCAAAATATCAGGTGAGTGCTGAGTTATCCTATTTGAATATTATTGTGATATTCTATTTGAATATCATAATGTATAATGATATGTATATATTTCTATATGAATTATATGTATAGTTAATACGTATGTATGATAATTTGATAAATAATTCATAATTAAAGCAGCGATATATAATTACATGATATCTAATTATAGTATGTAATTAGATATCATGGTATGTAATTCTGGAGTACTTATTATAAATGCCTGCCTAAATTACAAATTACATAATCCCAAATCTCATCTAATAGCAAATCTCAATCCAAAAATGGAATATGGGAATCTGTATTTCTCCAGAAAACCTAGACAATGCTTAAATATATCACCTGAGTGTCCACTAGAATTTGAAGACATAAATTATCTCCATAAAGTAAAGTTTGAATTGCTAAGTCAAAATATAGTATTAGAGTGATTATTTCAGATTTTTTTAAATTGGATAATGTCAATGTTGTATGAACAAGTTTTAATTAAGAGACTCTTTTCATAAGTGGGACTGGACATAGTGTGTTCCCACTGAAATACATCCCCAGCCCTCCACCTTTTTTATTTTATATTTTTGGTTGGGGTTTCCTTAGTGACGAAATTGCCCAGGGTTGGCTTGAATTTGCCGTTCCACTTATCTGCCTACCAGAATGCTGGGATTCCAGGTGTGTGGCACTGTGCGACTAGAGACTTTATCTTGAAGGCTATTTCAGTGATAGATGTCTCAGTGAGCTTCACATCATGAGGTCTAAACCTTAACACCCACAACTCGAAGGAGGAGAAAGTTCGGATTCGCTCACAGTCTGTAGAGGTTTCAGTACACAGTCGGCATGAGCCAAAGCTGAGCAACATGGCAGAAGAGAAACAGCCCGTGGAATACAGCAGGAAGCAGAGAGACAGGTGGGGGGTAGAGACAGAGGGACAGGGACAGAGAGATAGAGAGAGAGAGGAACAGAGCAGGCGAGACAGAGAGACAGAGACAGAGAGAGAGAGCAAGGAAAGAGGTGGAGCCTTGCAGGCCACACCCCACTACCCACGTGACTCCCTCCTCTGCCTTGGCTTCGCCTCCTAACATTACTGGCCCACTCATGAGAGTCATGCACCCATGATCCACTCGCCTCCTGAAAGCCCCACTTAGGAGTGCATGAGGCTCTGGTGGGGGACGGGGGGCCCCAGCTATAAATCACAGCAATAGAGTAGCCTGATCCCAGAGCTACAAAGAAGCCCTGGGTATTACACTGAAATTTCCCTGGAAGCCTGAGGTTCTTTGATTGTTGTCTCCTGACCTAAGTCATGCGACATGTGTCCAAAGCAAGATTTTCCATGATACGTTGAAAGACACGATCAGACTGATGTTACATGCTCCAAGACAGTCTTTTTTTTTTTTTTTTTTTTTTTTGAGACAGACTTTCATTATGCAATTCAGGCTGGCTTTGAACTTACTTTGTAGCCCAGACTAGCCTCAAGTTCCCAGCAATCCTCCTGCTTCAGCCTCCAGAATGCTGGGAATACAGGCACATACCACCACACCCAGCCTGCAAAACAGGGTTGACAGTATATTTGTCATACTATTTATTTGCATTTCTGAAGATTTTCCTTCATCTCTACTGAAATGATAAATGTTTATATTATGAGTTAAATCCTAGTGTTACTGGGGTGTCTAAGTAGTTTTTTTTTTTTTTTTTTCTCGGAACCGGGGATTGAACTCAGACCCTTGCGCTTGCCAGGGAAGCGCTTATTCCACTGAGCCATCTCCCCGGCCCTTGGTGTCTAAGTAGTACTTGCTGTCCAAGGAAACAAAGCTAAGAACTCAAGTCATTAAAAGAAACTGAGTAGCTTGTAAGTTTTTCTCTTTCTTTCTTTCTTTCTTTCTTTCTTTCTCTCTCTCTCTCTCTCTCTCTCTCTCTCTCTCTCTCTCTCTCTTTCTTTCTTTCTTTTTTAGTACAGGATTCACAGAGTCTCCCTACATAGATCAGACTTGTAGTGATCCTCCTGTTTTCATCCTTCCAAGCTCTGGAATTACAGGTGCACGCCACCATGCCCAGTCGCCTTCTCAGCATGGCCGCAGGAGCGGGGCTGGCACAGCATGTGATGTTGGGGATCGAACACCGGTCCATGTGCCTGCCTAAGCAAGCACTTTAGCCTGCTGAGCTATCTGGCTGGCCCTTTGTAAGTATTTAAAACTATTTCACAACCAGTCATGGTGATTTGTGCCTATAAACACAATTACTTGGGAGGCTGAAGCAGGAAGATCACTAAAGCCTGCGGTTTTGAGGTCAACATGGGCTCCACGGTGAGACCTCGTGTTAAAGAAGCAAGTGAGTAAGCCACCCTCTCGACCAAGTTTCAGGCAGCAAGAAGCATAGGGACACAAAATGGTATCGTAATTAGGAAATTTTTGCTTTAAAACTTTATTCTAATCTCAAATATTTAAGGTATTTGCAGTTGGTTTTCCCCCTTGGTAGAAGATTACGGATATATACATTGACACGTTACACAAACATTGCTTGAAAAATCCATCACACATGCTATAAAATTACTTTTTGATTATTGCAGATGCCAGATTTTCCAGACCAGGCTGGTCTTGGTCCTTTTTTAAGGACTGCAGACACCAAAATGCCAGCCAAAAGTAGCAAAGGACAAGAGAAGTACAAAAGTAGAAACATCTTATTTGCAGAGGATATAGAGTACGAGGAGCAAGACCCTCCGTACGCAGCAGGTTCGAAGGCTGCAGGATCTACCAGTCCAGTCAAGTCCGGCGATCCTGATACCATCGCAAGAACAATCTCGGACACAAAGAATCGATTTTCTTGGGAGCCTGCTATCAACACAACAAGCACTTCGGGCTCTCAGAACAAATTAGTCTACAATGCTGATGTCCCGATGAAGGCTCCACATCCTACGCTGAAAGAAAGACTGCCAAGTGTGTCCTTACCAAGCTTCACAGGACAATCGCCAAAGACGAGACCAGAAAACAAATGTCGTCTGTCCAAGTCTTTAAGTCCTCCCTCCCACATGGAAAATCTGAAGCAACGAGAGATAGTCAAGTCACTTTTAAGTAAAGTTCTACAAAGCCTTTCGGATACATTATTTAGTAAATCAGAAATCTGTGAGAACGCCGAAGTCATAGAGAAAGGTGGTTCTCCAGGCCTAAGTATTCACAAGAAATCATCACAGAATTTGGAAGATGAAGTAGTTCAAGTCATGCAAGATTTAAGTGCCTGGCTTTCAGAGAATCATAATTTAAGCTCAAAGGCTCTTTTATGTGATGCAATTGAAAACCTTTCTGCGGATTTCCTGTCAGAAGTTAAGCCAGAAAAAGCTCTAGAGATAAAAGAATGTGGCTCTGAAAAATATTCGGAAGCTAGTGCGACCAATTTTCCCATGAAAAGAAAGAGTAGTTACAAAAAGAAACATTTAATTAGTGAAATACCTCGCTCCAAATCAGGTCTGCATGGAGACGTGAAGGACTGCGCCATAAGGGAGATATTCATTGCGCCCATCTTTGCTCAGCTGGAGGCAGAACTGAAAAAGCTGAGCAAGACCCAGATGAAAAAGCTAGAGAGAAGTTTGTCTTCAAAGGGCCTGCTCCGCTCTGCGGAACAAGCTGAGAAGGACTTGCCCTCACCCAGCTCTGTGGTAAGCCAGATAATGCAGGCGTTTCCTATGGATGCTATTTTAGAATCTGGCTTGAACAAAGTGATAGGAAAAGAAAGCCAGATACCTCCTCCTCCTCTGCTGCACGCAGAGAGAGCCTCTTCGGAAGAAGAGCCTCAGGATTCCACAGCGGACTCTTCAGGTAGCAAAAGCGAGACCACGCTTCCTTCAGGGCAGAAGAGGCCCCCTGCTGCTCTACGTGGTGTTGAGCTCCCAGCAGGCAGCCAAAACACTTCCCTACCAGATTCAAAACGTCGCCCAAAACCAGGCGTGACAAGTAAAGGTCAGAGGTTGGAGGAAGGAGAAAGTGAAATAAATCCTACTTTAGCAAGTTTGAGTAAGCCATTAATGGACCCGTTTAATGAGTCAAAGGCAATAATTCTTGCATCCCCTCCAAAAAGCATCTCTCCTGATTTTTTCAAACCCTATCAGTCTGAAAGAAGAAGGCAACCAGGAAAAGAATTAGAAACACTAACTCCGCGTTCATATCCAAGTGATACAGAACATCTTGAAATCCAAGGGGGCTTTAATAGAGCAGACACAGAAGCTTTTTTGAGTCCAGAGCTGCGTGTGTTTCTAGAACAGCTCTCAGAATCAGAAATAAAAAGTTTAAAATTTGAACTGAGTAAACATATACAATATTACCTTGTAGAAAAACTTGCAAAAGCAGGATATGTCACCAAGGAAGACTTGACAAAAATCTACCAAAATCTCTATTTGATGAATGACAAAGCAAAACTGAAGGCGCAAAATGTTTTTCAGGAAAAATATTCGGGACCTATAAAAGAAGTTATGGTTTTTATAAATAATTTTAAAAATTATTTCATTGATAAACATTTAGAAATGAAGCTAAGATCATTTTTAAATGAAATTCTCCAGAGCTATTTAGTGCAAGACTATTCAGAGAACAGTTTAGTTACTGAGGCAGAATCTACGCCAACAATACACTCAAATGTATCTTCCATAAAAAATGACAGCGCCCCCAAAACATCTCGTGAATTAGAACAAGATATTTCAAAGGACAACTATGGTAGAAGGCTTGATGTAAACATGAAATATCCTTTAGACAAATCCCTACAAAATTATCTGATGACTTTATCAGAAACTGAATTATTAATTCTAAAAGAGAATTTAAGCAAACATCTCCAGAGCATTTTTATAGAAAAACTTTTGAAATCAGGATTAATGACAGAGAAGCAATTAAAAAGAATCAACCAGCATAGAAATTTGCTTGATTCCAGTTCTAGCCCATCAAGATATATAAAAACAGATTTATCTTTTAGAAGTGAGAAGGACTTGATGGAGAAGCATTCAGGAAAGCTAAATAAATTTTCAAAACCTGATCAAAGCACCACTTTAAGAAATACTACTGAGGATGAGCTTATAGAAACAGAATTTATTAGGAAGGTAGGAAGAAAACATTGTTCCTCACACAATTCAAAAGAAAATGCATCAATACTTTGGCAACAGAAAGATGATTACCCTAGGGACAGATCTAAAACAGTAAGTTTAATACAAACCCAGCCTTATCCCAACATTTTCCAGGCAGTTCCATTAAATAAATCATCAGAAAGACTTACAAAAATATTGCTGAAGAAACACACAAAAGAGTACGGTTTCATGCAACCTCAGGCAGAAATCTCTATGTATAAAACAGAGACTCAAGACTCGTATAGTAGGGCTGGTAAATCAGAAACAATGTCGTCAAAAGCTTACTTTCAAGCAACCCTGAAAGGAACTCCTGTTGAAAGAAAGGAATATGTTAACACTTACACTTGGGCTCTTCAAAGAAACCATGAGGCAATATTGTCACCATTTCCAAGAATTCCTTGTTGCCCTATGCCTAGGGACAATGAAGCTTACTTAAATAGAGCTCCGTTCCCTTTAGGCCGGGCTCACACGTCAGCTCATTGCAGTTGTGAGACTAAGGAGCAAGAAATATCTGGCCAGTATTTCCCGACACCGAAGGCAAGTAATAACAACAACAAAAAGCACCTAGTAACGTTTGGGCAGTACCAGGAGGACATACAAGCTCTGTATATGAACCAAAGTGAAATTTGCAATGAAAATTGGGTCATATTCCCTAAATCGCAATCATTTAAGTATAAAGAAGAGAAAAACTCTAAATCGTTCTTCTTCCCAGAGGTGCTAAAGAGAGAAAACGTAAAACCCAAGGTTCAAAAAGAAAGAAAATATGCTGGTAAATTTAAAAAGTCATCTAACTACATAGGTAGGATATTACCAACCACACTGCCCACCCCAACCATCCATCCAAGGAAATCCTTCCCGAGGACCTCACTTCACTGGACAGCAAGAACAACTGTACACGTAAGAACGCTGCTTCTGTTTTTCATTTCTGTACTGGACTAAGATCTATATGATAGGTACAGGCAGAAGGAAGAAGGGAAAGGGGCTTTATTTTCTTTGAGGACACGGGAGAGTGTGGGGAAGGATGAGGAATTTTCTCCCTCTCTTGACTAGACAAAGGGAGGCTGAGGCTTTTATGGCCTTTTAAAACCAGGGGAAGGATTTGAAGAGAATGTTTAGACAGACCTGAGAAACTGATTGGGGGTCTTCCCTGATGCAGCGGGAAGGGTGAAAGTAAATTATGTCCTGGGCTGAGTTGGAGAAGAGGGGAGATAGACTTGGGGGAGATAGGCTTTGTTTTAAGGGCTTCAGCCATATTAGATGACCAAATAAATGATGATTTTAACAATTCATACTAGGGCCAGAACCTATCACTCTAAATAACTTACATTTGTATACATATGCCTCTATATAAGTGGGTGTGTGATTTTAATCTCCTCCTAAAATACAGTCTGCTAAATTTAAGTATTTTTCTAAAATTCGAGTATCACCACAACTTGATACAAAATATAATCAGATTCAAAATATAATAAAGCCATGGGACTGTCAATGACCCTAGTACCTTTGTATAAAAATAAAGTGCACACTGCTTGGGTCACGATATTTTTTTAAACAGCCTTTCCTTGGGCAGACCCTCCAGGCTGCCTCCAATCAGAGCCAAACACACTCAAGACTGCACCTCAGCTCGGACTCAAGGGAGCCTGCTGCTGCTGACTGAGGCAGCTTACGCAGCTATTAGTGGTGGCCAGGAACTGTAGGAAAAAAATGAAATTTGCTTGCTTTCTTTCCTTATTTATTTTTTAAATGTATTTGATTGTTACAGGGTCTTATTATGCTGCTTGGACTCATAGTAATCCCCCTGTTTCAGCCTGCCCAGCACTGGGATCATAGGCGTGCACCACCACACCCAGACTCTGTGGCCGGCTCAGCACACCCTGGGGGCCAGGGCTGGTGCAGCATGTGGTACCAGAGATTGAACCCCAGTCCCTGCGCTTGCCAACCCCCCACCCCGAGATTTTCTTTTCCTAGAAAAACAGGACTTTTTTGAGAGAGATGAATACTTTATTTCAGTAAATAGTTTCTACTGTGCTACAGCTCTCTGCTAAGAATTGGGGATATGCAAAATTTATAATTATTGGATTATGAATTAAAATTACTAAATTTAATTTTTTTGTGTGTGCAACCGGAGATTGAACTCAGACCCTTGTGCTTGCAGGCAAACACTTATTCTACTGTGCTATCTCCCCAAGCTTGTTCTTTTTTTCTCTGTTATATCATGCATGGAGATCTTGTGAAATAAATATTTTTCAAATACTAGCATAAAATAAATAGAATGGCAAATCTGCTACTAGATTTCATACAAACTATTCTAAAGCAAAGTTAAAATCCAGGAATAAAAGGCACTTATTTTAGTTTTCTGGATCACTACTCTTCTTTGTTAGTATGTATAACAGACATGACTCATACTTGGGATATTTACAGTAAGTTGATAATTTTATGTGTATAATTCTGCTTTTAAGGGTCTTATGCTCTACCGACTGAGCTAACCAGGCACCTAATTCTGCTTTTAAATGAGAAAATAAATCTAATTCCAGAATAGCTGATTTGGATTGCTTTTCATAATAAAGGAAGTTACTAGCTATACAGTGGTGGGGCAAATATTATATAGCTATATATTATATAGAATAGTTGTACAGTTAATTATTTTGTTAGCTATAGAGTGCTAGGTTAGATATCAGTACCATTTATACTCTTAACTTTTTTTTTTTTTTTTTTTCCAAACAGGGGATTGAACTCAGGCCCTTGCGCTTGCCAGGGAAGTGCTTACTCCACTAAGCCATCTCCCCGGCCCCTTACTCTTAACTTTTTAATCTAAATTCAATAGTTTAGTATTTATCTAGCACGTGTGTGCCCACCAGACAAAGGAAGAAGATAAATTCATATTTCTTAGAGAAAAAAGACTTTCTTAAGTTCCTTTAAGCAAATCTTTAATATCCCTTCTTCGAATGATAAGAGATAGTGTTCAAGCTATGCAGGGTAAGATCATCTCTAACCTTGCAATCCTTTTCCTAAGCGTGTGCGAGGGAAACCAAGACTCTGCTGTTTTCCTCTGCTAGGCCACCTGTTCCTAAACTTTTCTGTCTAGTAAAACTGAGGACAGAGAACTCACTGCTACGAGGGTGTTTGTCAGCAAACCAGAAAGACATTTCTAAAATCTAGTGCTTTCCCAATGGAATCAAAACAGGAAGGAGGGGGTAGAGAAGAAAAGAGAAGAGAGACTGTGCTGCAGGCACCCCCAGAAAGTGTGGGTCCCCAGCAGTGTGGGTCTCCACGCCCTGCCACCCTGGCAATCAGTGACAGACTGTGAATTGCCATCGTAGTAGAAACTCTTGCAATAAGGGGTTTGCCTCATTCGTCTATGTCCATGAGAAGAAAGAGGAAGACTCGTTCCCTGCCTTCTCCAAACTTAGGCAGAAGTATAAAGTAGGGTGAGTTGGTCTTTAGACTTTTCATAGCTTCTTTGCTGGAAATCTCTTGTTGCGCGGTCTTGCTGACCTGGCAGTCCTGCTGGTTCGCTCCCGCCTGGTCTCCAGTCAGAGCAGCCCATTCCCTTGCTTCAGCCGCATCTACGAGGTGGAAAGACAGAAGCTGCTCTAACTGCTGCGGAAACTAGTTTACACTGTGAGGATGATTAGTACTATCTTAGGAGTACGTGCAGATTATTAGGTTTGTATTGCAAAATCTAGTCATAAGCAAATTTGAAAAAAAGAGAATTTTCACCCTTTCTTACTATTGTGGTATATGTTTGCCTGAATAATGTCTTTGTTTTTATTCTTAGTATGTACATTAAAATCTAAAATTATTTTTTAAGGGGCCAGGGAGATGGCTCAGTGGAATAAGCGCTTCCCTGGCAAGTGCAAGGGCCTGAGCTCAATCCCCGGTTCCGCAAAAATAAATAAATAAATAAATAAATAAATAAATAAATAATTTTTTAAGAGTAGAGTATATTTGCTGGGGGAATGAAAACTCTGTCTAACAGAGAGACAGAAGGGGACCCCAATGAGTTGCCTCTAAATTATTTGTAATGTAATTATTGCAACCACATTATTGGATGTAGCGCTCTGTCTCAGATAGATAGATAGATTAGACAGATTAGATAGAAAGACATTTGCTAACGCAAGATCAAAATTTGGGTGATATGAATAAAATATTAAAAATTCACAATTTGTATTTGCCAAGGAGTCCGACCCGAGAACAATTCTCTCAAGTTTTTCTGGTTTTCAGCTTCCTATCTTCCATCCATTTTGAAACTACAGATACTTTGAAGCAATAAGGTCTTTTCCAGCGCGATTGCTAAGATAGTTATCGGACAAGCAGCAGTCGGTGTAGGGTGTGAATGTAGGAACCGCCCGAGACATACGCCGCCCTTTCACTCCGATAGCACAACCTTCAGTCCTTACAAATAACTGTAAAACGTATTTTTAAAAACTGACACATCTACTGTTTTATTTCACCCTCTAGGACTGCTTGGATAAGTGCGAGGATGGATACATGACCCCCGTGAAGCATCCTACAAGAACAAAATCAAGAGCGAAGCTGGCGAGGAAGCACTCGGACAGCAGCCGCAGTCGGAGCAAGCAGGCCGCGCGGCCGTCCACGGCGCCCGAGCCCAACAAGCGAGAGAGCTGCTGCGCCACGTGCCCAAGTCCGCGAAGGGTTTCCGCGGGCTTAATTCACACAAACGATACAATTCTAGAGCATGCCGTGCTTAAAATGTGGCCTCCCCAAATTAAAAGAAGATTTTGAGACGTGTTTGCTCGTTTGTGATATTAAAATATTAATGTTTAGTGGATCTGAGTGACCGGAGAGAGCCGGTCAGAATATCTGCTAACAAAACGGTTTGGAGGTCCTGTTCGTTCGTTCGTTCGTTCTTTCTTTCTTTCTTTCTTTCTTTCTTTCTTTCTTTCTTTCTTTCTTTCTTTCTTTCTTTCTTTTCTTCTTTCTTTCTTTCTTTCTTCTTTTTTCTTTCTTTCTTCTTTCTTTCTCTTTCTTTCTTTCTTCTTTTTTCTTTCTCTTTCTTTCTTTCTTTCTTTCTTTTTTTCTTTCTTTCTTTCTTTTTTTTTGGCAGAACCAAGGATTGAACTCATACCCTTACATTTGCCAGGCAAGTGCTTATTCTACTGGGCTATCTCCCCAACCCATGGAGGTCCTGTTCTGATTAGAAGTCAGCCACCAAATTCCATCCTAGGAGAATTATTTTGTTATGACTAAAATAAAAAATAAACGTATTGATTGTAAACATGTTTTTGTTTGTAAATCTTAGGGAACAAGCACAGAAACACATTAAGTTGATACTCATTGGCAAAGTCTCCAGACTCCAGCCTTTTCTCTTAGAAGGATGAATTGAGATAAATTAAAATTCCAAACTTTGTTACACACTGTGTTGTGCGCCCAGTCCTCAGGGTCTATATTTGCAGTTGGCTTTTTTCTTTTAATTAATTAATTAATTAATTGAATACAGGGTCTCACTACACAGCTCGCTCAGACTTGTAGTGATCTTCAAGTCTCAGCCTCCCCAGTGCTGGGATTAAAGGCTTGCACCACCATGCTCGGCTCCGGGGGTCAGCATGGCATGCGGAACCCGGGATTGAACTCAAGACCTTGTGTTTGCTGGGCATGTGCTTAGACTACAGAGCTATCTCCCCAGCCTTAGCTTCTTTTTTATGAATAAATTTTACTCCTTAGCACTCTCTGTGTTTCCAGGCTTACCAGTTTGGAATTCTCTGGACCTATGGAATTTCTGTTAATTTTAACATTGATCTGCATTTTTGCACACCATGAATAAGGAAAATAAAGAAAAGATTTAACATTAAATCCTTCAGGTGCAAGGACTGGGGTTCGATCCTTGGCTTGCTGTGCAGGCCCCGCCCCCCAGGGCACACTGAGATGGTGACTGAGACTCGGCAGGGTGGTGCGAGCCTGCAATCCCAGCACTTGGGAGACTGAAAATAGGAGGGTCACTACAAGTCCAATCTGTGTACTGAGACCCTGTAGACCCTGTACTAAATACATTTAAAAAAAGAAAAGGAAAAAAAGAAACAAAGAAAGGAAACAAGAAAGAAAGAAAGAAAGAAAGAAAGAAAGAAAGAAAGAAGGAAGGAAGGAAGGAAGGAAGGAAGGAAGGAAGGAAGGAAAAGGAAAAAAGAAAAGAAGAAAGGAAACAAAAAGAAAGAAGGAAGGAAGGAAGGAAGGAAGAAAGAAAGAAAGAAAGAAAGAAAGAAAGAAAGAAAGAAAGAAAGAAAGAAAAGCAAGCAAGCAATCCTGAGGCATTGCCTACCCTGGAATAACTTTCTAACTTACTTAAAAAACTGTGAAAGATGTTTTAATTGCACTAAACTCAAGAAACTGGATAAAACTTTAGAAAGTCTTAATACATATTCTATCTAGCTAAATTAGCATAGGGTTGAAATATGGCTCAGTTTTTGTAAACCACAGTATTTATTGAATCCTGGTTCATTCTTAAAGAATAGAAACTTCAGTTCACAGAATTTTCATCAGCTCCGTAAAGACCACAAAGATCATGAAGTCTAAATAGAATTAGGCAATGGAATACATAATCTCTGGTATATTATTACTACCCATAATCAGGGTAGTAAGTTTTTGTAGGTACCAAGAATTTTCAGTTGCCCTAAGACTTGTCAGTACAGATGGTTTGACCTGGGATTTATTGACTTTACAATGATGTGAAATGAAGACTTATTCAGTAGAAACTATTCATAGCATTTTTATATTGTCTTAGATTATTGATAGTCAACAGAGTATTCTTTCATGTTGGTTAAATGGTTAGAGAAAACCAAGGAATTACTTATAAAGGTAAACCATTCAAATTATGTTATGCTTCTCAACACAAACCTTAAAAACCAGAAGAGCTTAGAGAACTACTTGCTTCAAGAAAACAGCTTCCAACCTAGGCTGATATAGTCAGCAAAATTATCTTTCAGGGGGCCTCCCCCTTAACTCAGTTCTTTAAGTGGCTGCTTCAACAAAGCAGTCAGGCTCAGCTTGCTGTGGTTGGATCCCCACAACTCAAGCCAGCCAAACCTGCCCTGAAGGCA